AGTTTAAAAAATGAAAAGCTTTAATCATTTAGACCAGTGGTTCCCAATTAGTGGTACGCGTACCCCTGGGGGTACACGAAATTGCGTGAAGGGGTACGCGCGGCAATCTAAAATCGGTCGATTTAATATTCAAATGCATGAGATGAAGCAATCAAAAAAATAACACAGATCTGCAAAAAAAATTTTTCCAGCTGCATGGAATATTTTTGCTGAATTATATGTTTTAAAGATCACAGATACTAAAAATAACTTCCGTTACATCCCATCACGTAAAGGTTTTTTGCAAAATAAAAACAAATTTTTGATAAAAACTCTTATAATATATTTAGTTCATTGTAATAAATATTTTCTTACAACTAATCAACAAATTGTTTCTGATATTTATACACAATTTTAGGTCTACTCTTTTTTCTTATGAAACCTTTTCTTCTTCTCTTTGATGCTCCTCCAAACTCATTTCCAGTTTCCTTCTCTGGTTTCTCGAATGAGCATCCAACAGTAGTCAGCTAACGTATTGACATATCATTTTCCTTGGTAACATCTCTCGATATCACGGACATCCTGGTGAAATCTTTCACAATGTTCTTCATTGTAGGCTCCAAAGTTTTCGGGAAAATAGTCAAATATGGGGGTGCTAGAAATGAACTTTTAAGCTCATCTTGCATCCTTGAGCTTCATAAGTTGCCAGCATGCGTTGTACAATGGTTTTGTAGTCAGGGTCCTTAGTATTCCCCAAAAACTTATGCACTACATTCTTGAAAGAGTCCCATGCTTCTTTTTCCTTTTCTCCCATTGTTTCCAAAAATCTGCTTTGTCTTGATCTCCAAGTTTCAATTTGAAATATGCAAATTAAACTTTCTTCACAAACTCACTTATGTTTCTTTGTTGACTTTTCACTGTGTATTCACCACAAACATAACAGAAGCTGTCGGGAGAAATTACACAACCTCTGCGAGCCATATTCCAGAAATAAAAATACAAGCACAGTAGCGTTCGAATGCTGGATATAAACTGAGTGTGGCATTAGATGGCCAGCGAGATACTGAACTTATTTAGCTTGTTGAAACACGATCTAATCCAACAGCAGGTTGTTTATATTTATTCCTAGTATCCCAGATAACATGTCGAAACATGCTCAACCTCACCAATAATATTACTCACTATCAACTTTTAACCTGTTTCTATACGATCATGCGACCTTCCTCCTAACGCTAAAACTACTTAACCCACCTCCCCCTACCACTACTCTCTTCAACCATTAACATTTTTATTTATTTATTACCAAGTCCAGCTATAATTGATAGAATTAATGTGAGAAGTCTTCGTTTTAAGGCCATTTTTTAAATAAAAAAAAAAATAGTAAATTTTAAGTTAACTAGGAATTTTAAGCTAAATACAAACAAAAACTTGAGTGTAACAAAAAAAATTGACGAGATGGAATTTTTTTGGTATTTTTTTCGTTTTTACCAAGTTGAAATCTGTAAGAAAATGTATAAAAATCCTATGCAGTTTTTTACTTGCAGACCTGTGTAATTGGTGGACCATCAAAAATTCGGAAATTTACAACACGATGTCGAATGCGCAAATTCGTTTATTTATAACTAAAAATATTCTCGAAATTTCATTTAAAAAATGCATTTGTGACGATACCTAAATGAAATTCTTACGCAAGAAACAAAAATTGTACAATTAACACAATTTGTGTTAATTGTACAATTATCATTATTATCATGTCAGCGAAGCGGCAATAAAATATTTACTACCATTTTGCACAACATACCTCTGCGAGAGCGGATTTTCGGCCATGACAAACATGAAAACTAAACATCGTCACCGACTTCAACTCGAAGATGACTCGAGACTGAAGCTGACCAAAAAGCAACCAGATTTTACAAAGTTGTGCAAAGAAAATCGTGCACATTTGTCACATTAAAATTAAATAACCTTATGTTATTTTCATTATTATTAGAATTGTATTTTAAAGGTAATAAATGTAAAAAAAACTTATTTTATTTATCACTAGCTGTCTACCCACGGCTTCGTCCGCATTATATCGAATTTTCTCGTGGGAGTAAGATATTTTCTCGCAGTAAAATGTAGCCTATGTCCATTTCCAACATGTAAGCTATCTCCGTCTCATATTTTATTAAAACCTGTTCGGCGGTTTAGACGTGAAAAGATGACAGACAGACAGAATTACCTTCGAATTTATAATATTAGTTTGTATTAATATGAATTTATTCTATAAGGGGTACGCGAGTTTGAGCTCTTTCTTGAAGTGGTACGCAGGAAAAAGTAATTGGGAACCACTGATTTAGACTATATACTCTTCAACTTATTTAGGCTACTTTAATTATATATTTTATTTAGAGGATTATACAAAAATTACCGATTTAAGAAATTTTAGGTTTTGGTACAGTTTAAAATAAATGTTTTGTTTTTTTTAATTTTTAATTAAATAAGAAAAAATTGATAAATTATAAATAGAAATTATTGAAAAGATACTAATATTTTTAAACATATAGGATATAGAAATTGATTTCAATTATGTAATATTTAAAATATTAATAATAACAAATATATGTATTCTTCAACCAATATCCGGCATGAAAATTCCAAACTAATATTACATATAATTCATGCCGGATATTGGTTGAAGAATACATATATTTGTTGTATATGACCCGGTGTGGGAGATCCTTGATTAATAATAAAATTATATTTATTAAGACTTTTGAAAAGAGTAATTAACTGACTTTAAATTTTTATTTTGATTATATTAGTTATAAATTACATAATACAAATAATTATTTTTTAATTCTAATAATTGATTCAATTGTTATTTGGTATTGAATCAATTATTAAAATTGGATCACTTTGGTAATGAAATTTTAAAAATGAAATGAAAGAAAAATGACTTATGAAAATATAAAAAAGCCAATACAGCAGAGCCTGCTAATTCGAACGTCTGCTTAATCCGAACATGTTTCAGTCAGCTGAGAGAAATTTTCTCTCTAACAAGAGGTCCATTTAGGGGTGTTTCCCTTTCTCTTTCCTAAGAGAATCATGTGAATAAAGCTTCATCAAGCTTGTCAAATGTTCGTTTGACAAGCTTGATGAAGCCTTATTTACATAGGGTCTTGCTATTTGTCGATTTTCAACTGATTTTTCTGAAGTAGAGGCACAAAACTGCATGATCGCTGTGCAGCTTTTTCCAGTCAGTTATTGTGGGCTTTCCCACTCCAAACTCTAATGCCAATTTTGTTACACTTTTACCTTTGTCCAGCCTTTTCAAAATGTCTAGCTTATCTTTCATCGTACACGTTGTGTGTTTCCGTTTTGTGGCCATTGTAGAAGAAGATTAAACTAAACTAAAATAATGTAGTGCAAAGAGTACATTCAACATCCATAATTAAGAATGCTAACTCATACAGTAGCATCAGTCAAGTGATTGGAATTCCGGACTGTATATTAAAAACAACATTTTTTCCAGTTAAAATAATTTTAAGGTAAACACTGAAGGCAGGTTACCATTTCAAAATTACAAAACTTGTTTTTATTAACTGTTTGCATCCTGTATTGAGTACAAGTCAGATGAAATAAAGAATGGGGCACTGACATTATTGATGGTGTTGGATCATTATTAACCAGACCTGTTTTACTGCTTGCATCTGCATTATTTCAATTATTTGGCTAATCTGAACAGGGCTCGGTCCCAATTAGTTCGGACTAGCGGACTCTACTGTAATTTGAAAATACAGGTAGGCCTCCTACAACGTGGTAGATACGTTCCTTGAAAATACCGCATTGTGGGAAATCACGTTATAGGAGACACCAACTTAACAAAAACTGGGATTTGGTTCTAAAAAGAGAAAAAATTGGTGTTTGAATGGCGTTTTTTGAATTTTTCAAACCATCCATTGCTAGCCATGAATTTAACACTGGTTTCATCAGCTGATGACTGTCCCATTTGTTTTAAATAATCAAATATTTTTAAGGCTTTGTGTTTAAGTGCAGTTTTATTTAAAGGCAACCATTTCTTGTTCATATTTTCTACCTATAATATTAGCATTTGTTCCATTTTTTTTCATTATAGGTGCTCTCAGACAAGCAACATTTTTTGCAAGAATAGATGATCCAGATGCGATCAAATTCCTAATCTTTTCTCCCGATTGCTTAATTGACTGAATAGTCAACTCATTTAAATTAAAATGCCTACTAATATCAGCTATCCGCTCTTGATTTTTAATTCAATCCAAAATTTCTTTGTTTGAAAGGTTATAAATTTCCTTTTTAATGATGATCCTTTCTTTTCATTCGGCATTGTTATGGCTAAAATCGTTTTTTCCACACTTGGAAGAGTCCTTCGTAGACATGGAGGAAATGTTCGATACTTAAGTGAAATGCACTTAGGTACAATATTATGTGTTCTGCACTTTAAAAGAAACCATAGTTGGGCATGTAGTTTCTGCCACTGTTTCTTCAGTTTCAGCATGCTGTAGAAGAGGTTTTTCGCAGTTTCCATTTCTTAATATAGGCTAGTATGCTATTCATGCCAAGTAATATTAATTGGTAATTAAAACTCACTGTGTTTATTAACAATTTCAAAGAGCACTTCAAAAAACCGATAAAAGCAAAACCATAAACCTAAATGATGGAATGGAGGTTAACAATGTGTGGGAGGAAATGGGAGGAGCTAAGTCTCTTAAGGAACGTTTCCCAGATGGGATCTCTTCCCTGCCCCGCCGAATTGGCACCACAGGGTTTAGAGACTATGTCTTTTCCTTTTTCATTGACTCTCGGGGATTCTGCCGCTAAAACCTTTAAACGACAAAGCTTTGGGCCCGGCCGAGCTTCCGGTTTCCCGTCCGCGGGGCTAGGCCCTAGCTCGCTAACGTGACATAGTTTTTTAGGGTGTGCAGCTTATGCTTGCACTATGTTCCACTGACTAATTAATTTCCACTGACTAATATATTATTCTTTTATTAAGATATATAAGCTCATAAATTAATGATCATTTCCATCAATTTCTCTAACTCTTTTAAGTTTCCTTTACTAGCTGCTAGCGTTCGAAGTACTTGTTCGGGTGGCCGAGACCAGTCGACTTGGTCGGCCCTACGGCGGAAGTCCTCTGTAAGAGGACAATCAAGTACGTAGTGTCTTGCGTCTCCGCAAGAACTACCACAGGAGCAGCTACCGTCTCCTTGCCCGAAACGGGACTGGAAGCGGGGAAACTTCCCGTGGCTGGTCAGTATCTGAGTCGTGAGCCTATTGCAGCACACCGGAGTGAGGCCAACTACAGGCACGAAGGCGTAAGTTGACCTACCTACTGTACTTTGATTCCAGCTCTCTTGCCAGTTAGTCATCGATCGTTTCAGCAAGGTGCCTTTGATATAAGCAGCCGAGGGTTCAACCGTCCTCGTTATAAAAGGACCACTAGCACCCGCCTTTGCTAGCTGATCGGCACGCTCATTACCCAGGATCCCGGTGTGGCCTCGGACCCAACACAGGGTAACTTGTCGCTCGTGCCTCGCCCTTAGCACCTTGCATCTGACCTCATGTACCAGCTTATCGCGATGGTACCCGTCGTTTAAAGCCTGTAGCGACGACTGGCTATCAGAGTAAACCGTGATTGGCTCTGGACCCGGTTGTAGTAGGATCCACTGGGACGCCCCTCCCAAGGCCACCAGTTCCGCCTGAAACACGGACGCCTCCTCATTCAGTCTGACTGACTGTTCGTACACTTGCACTCCGTTACAGAATACACAGAATGCGGCACCTACTAAGCTGCCGTCTTTC